ATTCGGAAAACCCACTTACATTTGACAATGTTAGTGGCAGCCGAAGGAGATGTGAGGTCCCAAATTCCAAGGCGATGAAGAGAGGCAAGTTCCTCCTCCATGGCCTTTTTCCAGTTTTGGTCTTTGAGGGCTTGCGAAACAGTGCGTGGTATTTCTGGTTTGGATTGGGTGGTAGTGTGGTGCACATATTTTCTGTTTGGCTTGAAGATGTTATTCTTAGAGCGGGTAATGATGCCGGATGAATGGGATGAGGAGTTAGGGATGGCAAGGGTTGCGGTAAGGGCAGCAGTAGTGGTTGCGTTGGGCTCAGGTGTAGGAGAAGTGTCGATAGGTGCGGAAGTGTTGGTGGGTGTAGGTTCGGATGGACTTGCGTGGGGTGATGGAGGGGTAGGGGCATGGGTTGTTGCGTGGGATGGGAAGTGCGTGGTCAAGGGTGTAGGAGATGCGGGAATATGCGTGGGATTGGGAGGCGAGGTAGGAGTGTCCATGGTTTCTATTGTTGGTTGGTGCACTGGGTGTTGGAGGATGGGTAGGGTGATGTTGCACCAAGCATCAGGGCTTGGTATTGGAGGGCATGAGGCGGAGGAGCTAAGGAGAGAGACGGGGAACTCATCCTCGACAAACCGCACATGGCGAGAGGTGTAGATGCGTTTTGAGACGGGGTCAAGGCAATGATAAGCGCTTTGAGTTTTGGAATATCCTATGAAAATACATGGCTTGGACTTTGGCTGTAGTTTGTGAGAAGTGTATGGTTTGAGCCATGGATAGCATAAACAGCCAAAACAACGTAACTTAAGATAGTTAGGGGGTGTTCCAAACAAACAGTGGTACGGAGATTTCATTGACAGAGTGGGTGTAGGAAGTCGGTTGATTAAATATGTTGTTGTAGAGAAGGCATAAGACCAATAAGGAAGGGGAAGCTTGGAATGAGTGAGGAGGGATAGGCCGGTTTCGACAATATGACGATGCCGGCGTTCTGCAAAACCATTGTGCTCGGGTGTATGGGGAGGAGAAGTGAGGTGAGAAACACCATCAATTGTTAGGAAGGAAGATAGAGCCTCGTACTCCCCTCCATTATCGGAGTAAAGGACTTTGATGGATGTGTTAAAGAATTTTTCTACAAGTGCTTTGAAGCGAATAAAAACCGGTTTAGTGTCGGATTTGTTTTTAAGCGGATAAAACCAAATATACTTGGTAAAATGATCAATAAATATCACATAATATTTGAAACCATCAATAGAAAAGACCGGTGAGGTCCATAAGTCTGTAAAAAATGACATCAAGAGGGGCATGAGAAAGCAAAGTGGACGTAGCAAATGGCAATTTGCGACTTTTGTTGCATTGACATGCATTACAATTGAAATTGAAAGAACTAGAGACATGAAGACTAAAATTGGAAATGATATGTTTTTAGATTGGCAAAGACGGGTGGCCAAGCCGGTGGTGCCAATTTATTGCAGGAGCTTTAATGGTGGAGAAAGCTTGAAATTTTGAGGTCGAGGGCCATTCATAGATTCCTTGTTTAACCGGTCCCTTCAGAAGATGTGCCCCCGTGAGACGATCCTTCAAAAGGAAGAAATCAGATGAGAATTCAACAATAAGGTTATTTTCAGCACATAATTGAGAAATGGAAATAATATTACGAGACATAGATGGAGCACATAAAATATTAGATAAAGTGACAGTTTTAGAGTTAGGGATAGGAAAGGTTAAGGAACCAGTGTGTGAGATGGGTACACCTAGGCCGTTACCTATGACAATTTCTTCGGTGCCATCATATGGGTGATGAAGAGACAAGGTTGAGAGATCATGAGTAACATGGTGAGAGGCTCCCGTATCCAAGAGCCAAGAGGGGTTTGACGCAGGTGGGGCTGCTGTTGCGACGTGCGCCTGGGGAGGTGATGGGCCACGGTTTTGTGGTGGAAGAATTGGCTTGGCATTAGGGAACCGTTGGTTAAAAGATGGACAACCGGTATAAGGAGTGACCATAAGTGTGGCACCACTGGCCCCGCCCCTTGTAACCAGTGGTGGGAGGTTTGTCAGTGCTAGAAGACTTCTTGTGGTGAGGCGAAGAATGACTGGAGTGTGAATGCTGGCGGTAGGGAGCATTAGATGAGACAGGGGTTGATTGGCTACGAGTAGAGGTGGCATGCGCAGAGGCAGGGAGGGGTGTAGGCATAGGGTTGGTGCGCAGACTAACCTCCTTGATGAGCAATTTCTCATGGAGCTCATCAAAGGAGATTAGAGTATCACGGTTATTTGTAGCATCAATAACAGATTGGTATGCGGAGTCTTGAATGCCCTCAAGGACACGTTCAATAAGATCGTCTGGTTTACAAGGGTCACCCAAAACGGCTAGTTGGTCTGCACATATACGGATAGCATTCATATAGTCCGTGATACTTTGTGTGCCTTTGGTAATGGATTTAAGGTTGGCTTTAAGGAGTTTAGCATGGCCACGGGTGTGTCGGGCAAAGGTATGAGCAAGGATGTCCCAAGCTTCTTTGGTAGTGGTGGCACGGGAAACTAAAGGAGAGATGTTGGACTCTAGAGTTCCAAGGAAAGCACCAAAGAGTAGTTTATCTTGGCGAACCCATGTGATATAGGCTAGGTTTGGGGAGGCAGTATCATCCTTGAGAATAGTTGGTGGCGGGGTAGGCAGTGAACCATCGAGGAGATGGAATAGGCCGTGTCCAAGGAGGATAGACTCAAGCTGTAGTTTCCACGAGAGGTAGTTTAAGTTGTTAAGTTTGATAACGTTGGTAAGGTTGACAATGATGAGAGGGCTGGAAGGTTAGGCATCATTGGGAATGATGGAGTTGGAAGCCATTGAGCTAGAGAAGTGTAGGAAGAGGGCAAGACGGCTGGGAAAAAAGAAAAGAAAAAAAAATTAGGAGCTATTGATCCAACTTTTTTTTCCGCTTCCGCTACTATCATGGCTACACCATCAAAACCCTTTGTCAACGCCGACAAATGATGGTGACCATATTCAACTTCCCTCTCGGATAGCTCCAAACTCCTTATGGACAAACAATCCCTCTTTGGCACCCTGTAGTCTATCTACCATGGAATGCCTGCAAAGCTAATTTTTAACTCGGCACCACGTAGTTTATCTACCACAGAATGCCAATTATCAATTTTTATTTTTTTTTCACTCCAAATCCCTTACGGAGAAACAAATCTATAATTCGGCACCTTGTAATCTCTCTACAAGGATAACCAACTATCATTTTTTTTCTCCACACCCCTTACGGAGAAACAAAACCATTTTCGACAACCCGTAATTTATCTACCAAGTTTTGTCAAGCATAAACTTATTTCTCCAAACTCTTATGGAGAAACCCACTCACTACTCTCTTAGAATTCAACATATTTCTGGTGATGATCAACTTGCAAATGCTCTCACTACACCTCTTACAGTCACACGCTTCACTCCCTTGTGCTCCAAGATTGGCCTCGTCTACAGACCATCCGTCTTGCGCGGGCGTGTTAAGGCATAATCGTCTTTCAAGATTGAATTTTCCCTTCGTCCATCCATCTTGCGGGGGCGTGTAAAGGAATAAACTAATTATCGTATTATTTAGCTTTATGTTTTGTATTTATTCAGTCAATGCTTATCATACTCTAGCTTTCCTACTAATAAGGATATATACTTATCCCTCTAGTTTATCTTGATAGTTGTTAGCTAGCTTTGTGGGATTATCTCGTTCATTGTTAGCTATAAATATAGCTTTGTAATTCTGGTTTATTATTTAATTATATAAAACCTTCATAGCTTTTGCTAATCTAAAAAAAAAAAAAAATGGAATTTTGATCTTCCTGCTCTGATACCATGTGAGAATAATTGTATTTAATTGAATGATTAAATCAGTTGTGTACATCCTAATTTATACAATAGAGAAGCTAAGTAAAGATTACAAAAGATAATAATACTATGCACATATTAAGGAGACAATCTAGGAGTTAAGAATTATCTTTAATTTACAAACTATAAGATAAGAGATAATATCAAAGAAGATAATTATCTTATATCTCTATCACGCCACACAAAGCTAGGGTCGTGACCTCTCTGAGCCGAGAGAAAATTCCCATTTTTGAAATATCTAGCCTTTAACACACTGTGGACAAGAGAATTAGGATCGTTGAGGAGGCGCCACCCTTGCTTAGCCAATAAGGCTTGATTGAAAACCCCCATGTCCCTAAAGCCCATACCACCAAGATGCTTCGAAAGACACAACTTATTCCAGCTTACCCAATGAATCTTACGCGCCGTTCCCTTGAGACACGAGAAAACCGCTTTTTTTTAACGACCAATGATCATGGGGAGACCAAGGTACTTCTCATGACGAGCCACCTGCTTAACACGCAGCAAACAAATAATCTCATGCCTTCGATCAGCCAACACATTCTTACTAAAGGAAACCTCTGACTTGTCAAAATTAATCAATTGTCCCGAGGCCCGCTCGTAGATGGAGATGATGGAAGCAATTTTTGAACACTCTTCAATAGAAGCTCTGGCAAAGAGGATGCTATCATCCGCAAAGAAGAGGTGAGAAATTTTCGGAGCTCCTCTACAAACCCTTGCCCCACTAATCAGATTGTCACTTGCCGCTTTTACCAACAAAGACGAAAAAGCCTCGGCACACAAAAGAAACAGGTCAGGGGAAATAGGATCCCCTGGCGGAGACCCCGAGAAGGAACCACACTCCCCGAAACCTTTCCATTCCACTTGAAAGAATAAGACACTGAGCTAAGACAATCCATAATTCTCCGCACCCACTCATCCGCAAAACCGAACTTAACCATAACTTGTTCAAGAAAGGACCACTCCACACGATCGTAGGCCTTGCTCATATCGAGCTTAAGGGCCATAGTACCCCTCCGCCCCTCTCCTTTCCTTTTCATGGCATGAAAGATTTCAAAGGCAATAATCGCATTGTCCGTGATTAAGCGCCCGGGGACAAAGGCACTTTGATGATGAGAGATCAAGGAAGGGAGAATGATCTTAAGCCGGTTCGCCATCACCTTCGAGAAGTTTATTACACGATATAAAGCAAAAATAACTACAAATGAGATCTATCACATGAATCTCTTTCTAAACCCACGTGAATGGTGTTGTTCAATTTTGAATTAAAACATTATTACATCAATAATCTCCATTATTGGGAAATAATAAATCATCTTATATTGGCAAATAAATTAAATAAATAGCTGAAAATTATAAATCAACAATTACATAATACTTAGAGATGAGAGTCTTTCAATGAAGAGGTTGAAACTGTGATCATCTCCCACCATACTAACTCTTACATATCTTCTAGAGACGCTAACGCCGAACTTAGAGTCATTTCTTGCTTGGATCTTCATCTTCCTCGTAAGTTGTTCAGCATCTTCACCCGTTTTACACTCCAACCACGCAAATGCTACCATAAATTGAATCAGCTTGTAAATTTATGATCGGTATATAAATAAACATAAAAAAAAAATATCAGATTAAAAAGGTATTGATACACCTTCTCAACCAATGCAAGTGTAATTGTGGAGGTGTATGTATCAACAATTTAATATTCTTAAAAGTTACAACTTTAGAATGTACAAATTTACATTTAAATTCACAAATAAATTATGCGTAATTTGAACCAAAAACCTAATATACCTGGAGTAATTTGAAGGTAATTTAAATTAAAGTTTTTATTTACTATAGGTCAAGACTTGTTTGTTGCGAAACAATAATATTATTGAATTAATTAATTTAGATACCTGGAGTAGGATAAGTGAGCTTTCCCTTAAAGTTACAAAATTCCGGAGAAAAGTCTGGAAGGCTAACTACTTCACTGCGTTGGGCAATAGCTCTAAGCCTCTTCCAACGTAACGCCAAGATACGGTGGCCGTAATCGAAGAGCCCCTCGGCTTCAAATAGTACAGGCACCTTTGGAGGCTTCACAAGCATATAATCTACATCATGCTCATAACTATCCGCCACAAAATGAATGATTTTTGTAGCTCGAATAAACCCTTCTTGGCAACTTCCAATGCTCATCAAAAATAAGTGTTTGTGTATCTTTTTGGCAATCTCTTTGTTCTTTACAATGGCCCACCTTTTAACACAAAATAATAACACCCTAAATAATTAGGACTTTATTTACTTCACCTAAAATTCACTAATATATAAACTAAAATTATTCTTAAGTATTTATTATTATTTGCTCTTTAAAATTACTAATTTAAATTGATTAAAACTTACTTTTACTAATTAACTAAAATTATTTTTATTGAAATGAAATTATAATTATTAATAAATACTCCCTCCGTCCTATAATAGTTGACAAATTTAACTTTTGTAACTATTTATATATTAAACTTTGACAGCAGTTTAATTTATTGAACATAGCCTTACTCCTCCGTTCCACAATCTAATATATATATATAAAGAGGAGTTTTTTCCCGAGTTTTTAGAGAGCCACATATGATCTAATTTTCTTAGCGCGCCATATAAGATTATAAATCTTAGTAGTAGCCAATTAAATAGGAGATTATTAATTTCTTTTAGAATTAAATAATTCAAATGCCATGTAAGCAAAATTGGAGAATGAGATTTTTAAGTTTAAATTAATTAAATATTACTCCATCCGTTTCAATATGATAGTCCCATATGGAATCAATCACATAAAATAAGAAAAGGATAATATTTGGAATCTAACATTAAATTAATAAAACAATTCATAAATAGTTTTGCCTTATTTAATTTTTTTGATTTTTTAGAAAAGTTTTAGTCATGTTTGCATAAATCAAGGGAGTAATTTCTTTATTTAGAGTCATGTCATTAATTCACAATCAATTAATCTAACCAATCAGAATTTAATATGAATAAAATAGGAAATAAAAACTAAGTTAAAAGTGGAATACATTCAATATGGGTATATCTTTTTGAAACGCCCAAAATAGTATATGGGACTAACAAATTGAAACGGAGGGAGTATATATTATCTTTTAAAATTAGGAATTTTATCTAAATATATCTAATCAATCATAAGTTTAAATTAATCAAGTACAAAATATTATCTTTTGAGGTTGGGAATTTTATCTAATATTTTAAAACTAATATAATAACAATTTTAATCACATAAATATGATTTTAAAAAAAATACTAGTAAACCGTGCATCGCACGGGCTTCATAAGTATATATATAAAGGGGAGTTTTTTCCCGAGTTTTTAGAGAGCCGGGTAGAATTTAATTTTTTTAGTGCGCCTTGTAAGATAAACAATTTTAGTGGTAGTCAATTAAATATAAGATTATTAATTTCTTTTAGAATTAAATAATTTAAATGACACGTAAGCAAAATTGGCGAATGAGATTTCCCAGTTTAAATTAATTAAATATAAAATATTATCTTTTGATATCAGGAATTTTATCTAAATATATAAGAAATTTTAGCACATAAATATGTTTATAATTTTTTTTAAAAATAAAATTTAAACAAACCGTGCATCGCACGGGCTTCATTTAGTAACTTTTATTTTAGAGCAGTGTACTTACCCTACTCGCGATCCAGCATGGCCCGTAGCCTTAGACAATGTAAAGAGCATAACATCATAGTCAGCTGGAGATGTTATGGGTGTATAGTGTGGCCAGTAGTAAGCAAGGTCATGTATCACCATCCCTTCTTCCCCCTTAAGTACCGGCTTTCGAGTTGTACCATCAGGGTTATTTGGAGATGTCACAACTTCAATGTATGGACCAGATTCAGATTGGAAAGTATTAGCATCTCCTTTCCATTGATAGAGTTCTGATCTCTCTTGCTCTATCACCTCTTTGTAAAACTGTCCAAAAAAATGAGATAGGTCATATTTATTACTAATTATAATTTGATCATTAGGTAATGTTGTTTGCAAATTAAATGTACGCATGGGTAAAAGAGCTAACGACAAATCAATGGTTCCTACACCCGTGTGTATCATAGAATTTCCATAGAGCTGGCTAATTAGTTAATTAATAAATTTGGATAAACTTATTGCTTGCGGTCAAACATAGCCGCCACTGGCTCATCATAACATTATGTAGCCGTCTAATTAGCTAGACAAGGATGGCTTGTTACTATTTTTGAGGTAACTTTAATGTGTGAGTTATTTTCATTATAATTGCTCGTGTTAATAATATACAATAACTTCAATTATTTTACAAGAAAAGTACAAATAAAAATAAAACAATGCTAGCAATCTAGCATGCATGTTGATTCAAGTTTTATAAAACAAAAATGTACAATAAAAAAATTTACCGAGTAATAGGGCTCAGCACAAACAACGGGTATGTGCTTCTTGTTACTAGTAGTCTCCTTGGCAGTACAAGCCAAGGCACGAAGCGCAGCGATAAACAGTTGAGATGATCCTGTTCCTTCGATGATATACCGGCCCTCGGTTACTGCATTTCCGACCAGCCGATGCACCCTATGGACGGCGTCTATGAACTCCGGCATTTGGCAGAAAAAGTCAGCATCTTTAGGGTTTGGGAAGTAGCTAATTAGCTCTGATGCTTTGATATTCACCGAGCATTCATTGTCCACTTTCTTCCAATATGTATAGAACATCTTAGGGTCACCACTGTATCAATTGAGACATATATACCTTGAATTAGATAACTCAACTTCAACAAATAAATCTACAAAATTGATTTTTCTTAATTTAAAGATGTATAGTAATTAAACTACTCTGTATCTATAATTCATTAGATAATACGGTGTAATTTGTTATAATGGCATGACCTCATCAGCTCATATTTTGAATAAGAGCTGATGATGTCATTTTTTAATTCATTACACTTCGTAATGATTTTCAATTTCCTTAACAATTGTAAGAATAAACGACACGACCTCATTTGATCAACTCAAAGTTTAAGGACACGTACTAATTATGCACTTAAGCAACAAAATGAAATACGGAGTACTTCGTATTATGTAAATATGAGCAGTTGAGGTCATGTGACGCATTTATTGTTGTGGCTGCTTGAAATATGAGATTGATAGTTATGCATAATTACTAATTATTGAATAGTGTACGTAGTTATAACTGATTAGAAATTTATTATTATGGTTGTTACATAAATTTGCATGACTAAATGGCTAATAATTGATTGATTAATGTACGTAGTGATAAGAGATTTATTACGGAGTACTATTATGGTTGCGTTACATAAATTTACATGACTAATGATTTTATGATTGATCTACCCATTAGTGTACGTAGTGATAAGAGTTTTATTACAGAGTACTATTATGGTTGCGTTACGTGAATTTGCATGACTAATGATTTTATGATTGATTTATCTATTAGTGTACGTAGTGATAAGAGATTTATTACAGAGTACTATTATGGTTGCGTTACACGAATTTGCATGACTAATGATTTTATGATTGATCTATCCATTAGTGTACGTAGAGATAAGAAGTTCATTATGATGGCTATTACATGAATTTGCATGATGACTAAAGATTGATTAGTGTACGAAGTAGATAGTAAAATTAGAAACTTAACATCTCAATTAGGGATTAGGGTACGTTCTCTTTACAAAGGGCACATTGCACGTACTATAAATATACAACCTCCATTTTATATTATTTGCAACGATTACACATTTTTCCTCTCTACTTTATGTCAAATCGTTACAAATAATATGAAACAGACGGAGGTAGTATATAGAATATAGATGAATTTCAAATAAACACCGTAAGTAATATAGCAACCATATATGGGCTTACCGGTCAAGATCGATAACAACATCGCCGCCATTGGACAGGTTGTGATCCTTGGTTTGCACCATTATTTGCTTTGCTCCATCATTTAACAACTTTGTTGACTCCATAGTTATTATATATGGTGATTGGTGATTGCTTGCTCTATAAACAATCTCTTTCCCTCTCCTCTTACTCTCTCTCGATGCCTTGAGTTGGAGCTCATAATACTATCGATCTATTTTTTTTTATTTATACTACTTATAATTTGTGACTAATAAACTCACCATACATGATTATTGCAATTGTGATCCCAATTATTAGAGGGGCACCTTTCACTAGGGCTATTCAGTGGGCCGAGTTATTTTGAGTGATTAGTTATTAAATTTCGCATTGATAAATTAGTGCATACATTGTGTGCATATAAAACTGGTATTAAATAATTCGGAGTATTAAAAGTTGTTGAGTGGTACACGAAAGAATTATCAACACTAGAATGTATTTCAAGTAAAACCCTAACACTAACACAAATTATGTTGTTAGGAATATAGAAAAACTAGGTTAGATCCCGTGCCATGCACGGTTTTCAATTTTTGTTACGGAGTATCAATTAAAACTATATTTAAATATAAAAAAATTTTGGTTCATAGTCTATTTCTTATTTTATCCCAAATCTAGCAACTTAAAATACTACTATTATTTTTTTTATTTTTTATGACTACATATTATATTTTTAATTCAAACTTTCTTTTTTATATTTTTTTATTTCACATTTTAAAAAAATTTCATTCGCTAATTATGTTAGGTTGAAAGATTATATTCATGATTTTTTTTTTACTATAAATAATTATTATATACATTAAAAAGCAATTACTTATATAAAAATAGAAAGATATGATTAGATATCTAATTTGGTAAATATATTATTTTACGATTAAATTTTGGAAGAAAATATTTTGCGTATATTCTCTATCATTTTTTTCAAAAGTTTTTTTAATATATAAAAAAGATATACTAAGGACACACCATAAGATGACACGTGTCATTGCTAGTGTGTCTTTTAGTATATAGTAGTTATTGATATATCAATAAGATCTATAAGGAAAATATATCACAATAATATATTTTCCTATATTTCTATTCCTAACACATGTTCATAATAATATCAAATCGTCATTTAATTTGTTATGTCGGTACAAGCAAACAAATATCAAGATTTCATAGCGTTGTATGGATTCACGTTGAATCAATATTTTACCAATTAAATTATACCATTATTCACGTTTGTCGTTGACGTATGACATAGTAGGTTCATTATTCCAGCACGTTGAAAGATCTAGACACCAACTACGAGTAGCACACATTTATCAATAGCTTAGATCATTAGAGTAAGACTAGACATTTATCTATCGATATGTTTATGAGTATTACTTGTAGTCGTAAGTCATAAACATTAAGTATCAATTGGTTGTTGGTGCAATGACGATTGGGACTGCACTTGGTAGTGTAGTAGGAAGAACCGTGTGTTTAATTCCCCGCAACAATAATTAGGAAGATATTGGAATCTAATCACTCGGAGCTAATCATATATAACCCCAATTCCAAATTAGCTCAAAAGGATAAGGAGAGTTTCTTTTTTAACAATAAAGAGAGTTTAGAAGTAAGAGAGAACCTAAATTTTTACATCTAAGCTCACCAACTTATCAGTAAATTAAAGAGTAAAAATATTTATTTCATCAAGTGTCTTCATAATTTGTAGGATGAACTAAAAAAAAAGAGTAATTACCCTACAAAAGCGCATGAAATTTGAGCCATGAATTAAATTAAATCCAAACAAAAAATTACAACATTTATAAAAACAATTAATTAATCATGACAATTATATGTGTTACCTAACCAAGCACCTTCCAACTCCGAACATCTAGACAAATGTAAATCTCGTTAACTAACAATAAAAAAACATCTCCTTAGACATGAATGAATTACACCAAAAATATTACAAACAACAACAATCACTAATTATTCACCTCACTTTCATTTCGTACTATAAAATTTCTCATCTTCGTTGTAAATAAGTTATTTATCTTTCAACATAGATCTCACAAATTAATTTTTTTTTTTAAATAAAAAATGAAGCCACGGCGATTACCACTAGACAGGCCATGGCTAGCGGTACCATTAGTGGTGGCAGTAATGATCGCCATGGCATTTCTAGTCGTAAACTTCAAGTTGGTCACGACGAAGGCCGGGTTGTTCTGTGGGACGACATCAGCGATTGAGAGAAATGTTATACCAATACAACTTCATGCCGTGTTACATTATGCTACTACCCGTGACATACCACAACAGTCTACTGCTGAGATCCGGGTTAGCTTTGATGTGTTATTCTCTCTTTACCCTTGTAATTTCTTGGTTTTTGGGCTGGGCCATGATTCGTTGATGTGGGCCTCATTTAACCCAAATGGGTTCACCATGTTCCTAGAAGAGGACCCTAATTGGATCAAGACGGTTCTCACCAAGGCCCCAAATATAAGGGTCTATCCAGTGGGCTATAAGACCCATCTTTATGATGCTAAGAATTTGTTGGCCCATTATAAGGCTGAGCCCAATTGTTTACCCCCTAAGTTGCATCTTCAAGGTAACACCAAATGCAGGTTTGTCAATCTTATTAATCCTTAATCTTCATTAATTAATGCATGTTAATAATGCAATGTCATAATAGATGTACATGGATTTTGATTGATATTTGAAAATGGTTTAAATTATCGGAAAAGTTTAATTTGATGATGTATTTTCCAATTTAATGAATATAGATGTATTACAACGTAGATCAAATCAAGAGTAAAACTTAGAGTTGGTTGAGCGCAGTTGTGGCTCTTATTTAATTAATATTATATTCTTTAATTAATACAGAGTACTCCGTATTAAAAAGTGTTCAAATTTTTTATTAGTGTATGGACCCACCTCAACATCAAGAGTTAGTTCTAATGGATTTTATTATGGATGCATGACCAGGTTAGTCCTAAGTGATCTACCAAATGAAGTGTATGACAAAGAGTGGGATGTGATAATGATAGACGGACCAAAGGGGTACCTACCGGACTTGCCGGGGCGGATGGCAGCAATCTACACGGCGGCAGTGATGGCGAGGATGAGGACGAGGCCAGGGGTAACCCATGTAATATTGCATGATGTTAATAGGAAAGTAGAGAGGGTATATGCTCAAAGGTTTCTTTGTAGAAAGTATTTGGTAAAGGCTGTAGGTAGGCTTTGGCATTTTGTTATACCTCCTGCTTCTAAAGACCAGGATCTAACGCCTAATACATTTTTCTGTTGATCACATTTTTTTTTTATGTATCAATTGATTCAAACTCAATGGAAAAAAAAAATTTATCTTCCGAACTGATTAATCATTGTAGCCTCTTCAATTATAGGCCCTCTTAAGTTATAGGTCCCAAGTTATCGCCTTTTTAAACTGAACACGTGAGTGGTGATTAGCTCTAATTGTACAAGCTAAGCAGTTTGTAAGCAAATGTAAATAGCCGCTCTCAAGTATGTACAGATGTGAACAAAGTGACAAAGAATAGAATAAGGAATAGTTAATGTGTGGGAAAAAGAAAAAAAAGAAATTTGTTGAGAGTGGGATTTGAACCCACGCCCTTTCGGACCAGAACCTTAATCTGGCGCCTTAGACCAACTCGGCCATCTCAACTTCGTTGTACTTTAATTGAAAACAAAGAATATATTCTGTTATTTGTTTTTTAAATTTTATATTTTTTCAATTTACTTTTGTACTTTTTTGTAAATAAAAATAAAAATATAACTCTAATTGAAGATTGGATTGGTCCTTTCTCATCACAAAATGAATAGATGCCATGTAACGCGAGATGTTGAATCGGAGTATAAATTGGCTAATAAATGACAGGAGTAAGGAAAAAAAAAACTCTTATTAACACTTTGAAATTAAGTCCATTTGCAGCTAAAGAGATTTTTTTTTAAATAATACAAACATACAAAGTGCAAGTTCCCAGTTCAGCTGAAAAAGAGTGTTGATGATATGGTAAATTCTCAAGCAACCATTAGTTTGCTCTTGCTATTGGCACATTTCTCTTTCTAACGACCTCCTGAATTTGTTCCACAGGCATGACAGATGCCCAGTTATCGAAATCTGAATTTTGCAGTTGCTCGTGTAACTGCAAACAAATTACACAGTAAAACACTTTAGAAAACGGTTGACATGAAATGGGGAGGGGGGGTCATGTAACTGCAAACAAATTACACAGTAAAACACTTCAGAAAACGGTTGACATGAAAAGGGGAGGGGGGGGGGGGGGGGAGGTGCTCTAGCATACACAGCATGAGTGGAGATAAGGATATCAGATGATAAAAATATACTCATCAAAAATCATCAGAACTCGCATTAGTGACTAGTGAGTATGAAACACCAAGAGCCCAAGCCTATACGTTCTATAATTATGAGCTTACCTCCTAAAAGGAAAAGCTAATAAAAGTACACTGAGAAAGAGAACTGATAAAGATCTCTACTTCAAACATTGGTCAGTTAAATTATACGACTTGGTACTTCTAGGTGTTAGGTACTTAACTGGGAGGGGGGATGATCCAGAAATTTGTACAACAGCAGTAAATATTTCAATAAAACTTGTCAAAAGCATATTCGTACTGAAGAAATTGAAGTTCTGTGATGATTTTAAAGAGGATTGCAGCTATTGTCAGAAACAGATTAGCCTCAATACAACCCAGGTGAAGAGAAAGTAAACCTTTCCAAGAATAGCCGACTGGTCGTCCGTGTGAAATTTACGCATATGCTTTAACATCTTTAGTTGCTGTAAGAAAAATTCACCAGACACCTTTCAGCAATAATTCCTCAAAGCCATTAAAAGTGTTAAGTGAACTCTACCTGTGCTTGTAGATCATGCTGGTTACGCATCTTTTTGGCAAATTCATCTGTTCCAAGCTCAGCTTCATCACAGGCTATCTCTTCCCTGCAATTTACACCTTATCAAATCTCCAAAATCAGATTCTTGGTACATAGATACTGTCACTGTCAGTAGGATGAGAACTAGCATAGAAGAAACAGCAAGGCGAGGAATAGAAAATTGCTAAACAGAGAATTGTATAATGTCCCTGACTTTGTTATATACATCAGCCACCACGAGAACAATGATAAGGGGGAAAAAAAAAATAGGGGGGGGGGGGGGGGGGGAGAGCAATTAGACTCGTATGAGTTAGCAAAGAAGCAAATGTGCAAGCCTATAGCCACAAAATTATTTTATCATAGCTATTACTACAATCATAACAGGCTATAAACTTCACTAAGAGAAAGATACAACAGCAGATATGCAAGATTTTTTCGTTTTTCCCCTTTTCATCCTGCAGCATAAGACCCTAGATCCTCACTCCAAGTAATTTCAAAAAAGAATAATTTAGCTTGCGCAAAGAACAGAAAGGGGAACAAAACAACTTAAAGAAAAAGAAAACTTACTTAGCCACAAATCCATAGAAGCGGATCATCAAGTCCCGGTCATTCTCATATGCCATATTCACTTTTCCCAGGCAGCCAATTCCAAAGCTAGGATCTGCAATATTGCCAAAAAGTCATGTCAAAGTACTTTTTATTCAAAAAATGATATATAATTCACAAGCGAGAGTCCAAAATACATCTGAGAGAAAGAGGGCAGGGATAAGTAATAAGCTTGTACTTTCCTAAGAACACATGACTGCTTGCATATCGTGGTCATCAGTGCTCATATAATAAAGCCTAGAAGACAGATGCACATCAATCAAGGAGTTTGACAAATCAAAAGAATTTGGGGATGTTGGAGAGTGAGCTGACATATAAAAATGTTTGAATCTCATGTAGTGGCCCAGCAGACTGAACCAGGTCGATCAAGAAGTTTGATAGTCCAAAAAGGATTTGAGGAAAAACATTTGATAGTTGAGCAATGCATCTGCTATGTTATGCTATGAGATGGATGACCATAGTCAATTACAATAAATTCAATTTTGCAGCTGATATGGATAATTCACGAGTAACCCAGCCCTTAACCTTGATCTGAAGGGCATGGATAAGTCTATAGTTAATCCACAAACTGCAAGAAATGAGGCTTAATTAGGTTCATTTCCAAAAAAAGCTTCAATGAAATTTGTGATAAGTCCATTAATTTTAAGCTTTGGGGAGAAACAAAATATCATAAACTACATTGGTACTTCAACCAACCCAAAAATTGAGCACGTAACTAAATGACTTTGTAACCTGGATACCACAGTACAATAATGCTTTCATTTTCCTCTTCAGAATTGGTTTTCCCATTTTGGTAGCAGTACATTAAGCTGAGTCCATAAATATAATTGTCCCATAAAACTTCGCCTTGATTCAGGATGCAAACACAGTCTAACAGATAATCCTATGCAAAAAAGCGCCTAACACTAGCAATAATAAATTTGCTTTGGCTGGAAGCTCAAAGCAAATAGCTTATTTAAAAAATGGCTAAGTGAAACAGCATACAGAAATAATAGCAATAGACCATTCTGATTATCTAATTTTAACATATATGGCTTCTCAACACCCAGTAGTAGATCCTTTCTCTTAACAGATCGCTGCCAAGGTCAATGTATAGAACTAGCACAGTAGCGCAACTGCACAAGAGTGCAAATTTATTGACATAGTTAGTTCACCCCTCATAGGTTAACATCACAATTATGTGGGAAAGAATGCAAAAGGCTGGTGAAACCAACACAGAGTAAATGATTACAAAAAACTAACCAACACCCATTTCTAAGAATATCTCCTCTTGGATTGCAGTTGTCACAGCAACAGCTTCCTGCAGTATTTCAAATTAGATTATAGTTACACTCTACCAAGGGCCATGAAAACAGCAGGATCTGTATCTAGAAAAGGTGTTTTTATTACAGAAAAAAGAAAGTTTTCAACCAACTTATCATTGTCAGTAAAACTTACCAACTAGCACAGCATGGGCATCAATTCAAAGTCCAGCAAATGCTTAGGCAATGCCCAAGATAAAAATCAGATTGAATTCACAGAGAAGGAAAACAGCATAAGCAAATATCAAGACTCCAGCCATGTTAAAGCAATGAACCTCCTATTTCGAGGATACAAATCACCATCTAGAAGAACCTATGTCTTAAGCACAAAGCTTTCCATATTACAGAACCAAGTAATGGGCCGTTTTCTTTTATGACACTAGGTGTATACATTAACACTCCACTGAGTCACTGATGTCCCTAAAGCTCCCCACACATGGTACAAAAGGCGTCTTATGACACTAGACTTGAGGTTTTAAAATGACCTTAATGGATCTTATTATGAAGGATACAGATCTCAGCCATAAATTTCAACTAAAAATAAGTGAAAGCCTTTGAAAATTGGCACGAGTACATGACAGATAATGCCCTTATATGGACAGGTGCCCTTATATGGACAGGAATAAGGTTTTAATGCTCCCAATTAACTTACAAGTTATGCTGAAGGGGTCTTGTTCATTAGTCACGTGTTATGATGTTAACAGAACCTAAACACACCCAAGCCACCTATAAGGTGCAGATGAACCACATGATCATTTGGGTCATAATTAGCATCAAACATAATATAGCCACAACACAATAGACCCAAAATTTCAGTAAATCACACCCAAGAAGCTTTATCAGGGTGGAAATTTTGAAACTATATTGTCTTAGATCTCTATAGGATACAAGGGGAACGATTACTTGCCAACAGAAGCAAGAATTCATACCCTACAAAAACGAATAGATATAGTCCAGCCTTCCTAATAGTCTTAAAAGGCCGTTGGCAACTTGGCAATATAATGCTGACATAAACCATGGGTGACAAAACACTGAAAAATGTCACAGTAAACTCCATTCGGATGCTATAAATCCACCCTATGAAAATTGTTTGTGACCACAAAATTTACTGTCATCATTCATCACCATGCAACTATGCAAGCTTCTTCTAATATAAGAAAGTCAAATCAACGATAGTTAGAAAACTATAAATACCTTCCACTTAATCTCATAAAAAAAGTAAAAAATAAAAAATCGTTCAAATAAATTACACTTATGGCGTAAATGACCTTGAAGCTATAAATCCCAAGTGAAGACCCTTTAAAGGCTGGAAGATGAATGTAGATGAAAGCTGATAAGAGGCTTTGAAGCTTTGTAGGATTATTTGATGAAAAACATACTGGCAAAGGCTTACTGTTCCTTTGTTTATAATCGAGGTTTAAATTGGCAAGAATCCTAAAAAAGAAGAGGAATTCCTTGAGCAGCCTCTGCGACTCTAATGGTAATATGTGATCATAATTACAATAAATTTGTATGTAAATTTCCAAGGGAAGTTCTATTTCAATACTCATGGTAATCTTAGTTCATACCGAACTATCTCTTTTTCGTCACAACATACATTACCACTTGGGAGTTGGTATTGAATGGAGATGAAAACACATGAAGAAAAACATATGGGATATGCCAGGGTATGGAAATATGGGGCTGCACTACTATGGACATTGGCATGATATCTTCCTTGCCAATATACATCTAAATCTGTTCTTACTACTTCCTTCATTACCACCTACCATACGGGTTATAAAAGTCACCAAGAGGCTATATTGTCAGTGTGTCACGCATAATCGAGAATGGCTCTGATAAAGCCTGTATCTACAACAAAATGACCCTTATCTACATTGTTGACAAAAAAAAACTTCATGCAGTGGCCCAATGTTCATAGAGTTCTTAGATAACCCAAAATCAAAGTCTACTGCTTCTGACAATAAACCTAAGCCATGCCAAGAAGGCAAGAAGTCCCATTTCGAACATCATGCAGTGAAAAACCTTAGCACCCTCGACAAAAACATAACACATGCCAATGGAAAATCTCAAATCTCAAGCAACTTCTAAATTTGCATGTGTAAATTACATACAATACTTAAATAGTGACTATCAATCACAAATAAGATATTCTTGTCCCAATAATTAAACAACTTCATCCCAATGTCACTAATCAGGCTGTTATATGACATTAAACCTGAAATTCATTGCCAAACATTCCCAGAAAAAACAAGTATTTGACCACAAACTCTTTAATAGAGCAATGCAAGGTATTCAAAATTCAGAAACCTCTAATTTCTGCTGTAGTCTACTATTATTGCAAAAAATCAACGATACCCATGATTCAAAAACCTTCAAATTATGCTTTAATACTACCATTAATGCATAAAATCAAGAAGAGAAAAGTACCTGATTATCTAAAACAGCTTCAGCTATGCGTTTCTTGACATCTGAGCATCAACAAATTGAACATGGAATTAGAAAATTAAAATTCAAACAAAAAATAGAGATAAATATTGGGGATAAATTAAATTACCAGGAAGAGAAGTGAGATAATCGAATCGATCGAAAAGGTAGAGTAATTGATCTCTGGATAACATTCCTGTGTTCTGCGCCATTCTTTCTTACTCCCCGATTTTGAGATTTTCCTTTCTCTTTTCTTTGCTTGACTTCACTAATGTAGTAATGTCACACATTTCTACCCTTATTTTTGTTTCTTTGTTTCTCAATAGTGAGGGGTATTATGGTTAATGTACTTATTGTAAGGTTCTTTCAAACCATACAAATATACAATCAAAAAATAAGGTTGGATTAGACATTTAGACCTTAACATCAAATATCATACCCAAATCCGTAAAATGTGACGAGCCTGACGGTCTTGTCAAGCCAAGGCAAACTTTCTAGGCTATTTTGAACCGAGTTCGAGTTGCTCACTCTTTTTTACGGATCAGATCGAGCGATGATGTTCTCTAAAACATATGGTGAGTATTTTTGTTTAATACGAGAAAAGGAATATCATTAAATTATTAATAATAGTCATACTCTATATTGCATCTACAACAATTGTCAAGCTTTGCGAAACATGTATGTATAAAATTAACTCAATTTTCATAATCAACACAATTATTTTGTTTAAGCATACTTTAGCAGTTTAGCACAATTAGTTCCAACTCCATGGCCCCGTTTGGTTTAATGTAAAACATTTTCAATGGAAAATTAGTTTTCATTGGAAACATATTTTCAAGGAAAAACACAATTGCAAATTAATTTTCCTTTGTTTGGTTGCATAGAAGATTAGTCCAAGAAAAATAAAAAATAAGAGTGGAAATGTAAGGATGAATGAGAGGGAAGTAAAAAAAGAGGTAAGGAGGAGAGAGGAAAATGTGGCTTCCCTTGTTTTTGGAAGGAAAATGTTTTCCATCATTAAGGATGAAATTTTCCACCCTTGAAAAATTGTTTTCCACTCCTTAACAAACCAAGCAAAGGAAAATGGGAAAAAATGAAAAATTCATTTTCCATGAAAACATTTTACATCAAACCAAACAGGGCCCGTGTTTCAAACTTGACACAATATAGTACGTGTTTACTATGTCTTTACAAAGTATTCACAATGGACAAATTAAAGTTAAGGTCCTTCGCAACAAGATGAGAAGAAAATTGAAGAGATATCCTCGCAAACGAACAAATAGCTCTTATCATATTAGAAAAATCAGTGACTTTTGCAATTCCGCGTAGTTATTCACCAATCAAATAGTTTTAGAATATTTGGTCATGAACAAGATGAAATGTAATTCGAAGTAAAAAATACAAGTAAATAACAACCAAACAATAATAATGTCATTCCAATAGTTTTTGGTCATCCATTAATAATACTTTAAGGCATGACACAAATTGTGAATATTTAAAGATATGGACCAATAATACCATATGTAAATATGTTCCATGTACCAATGTCCCACGTCACAAACCTCGTACATGTTATCATAATATAAGGTTAATGATAAAAGAATAACACAAACATTATTACAATACTACTAATAACAATTATAATCGATTAATCGGTATATTTTATGACTAAATAATTTTTAGACAATTTTTTAAAAAAAAACATTTTTAGTCATCCATTAATGATAATTTAAGACAACATTAACGAATTATAGTTATTCAAACATATCGACCAATAAAACGACCCATGTGCCAACGTGCCATGTCATACTCCACACGACCTAAACCTCATACGAACACAATCCGTTCTCGCGTCATCCCATCAATCCCATGCTAGGCTACTAACAAGCACAATTGCATAATCCAAGACTCCACTAGACCACTAGTCCACTACCACCTTATTGTAAAAAAAACTTGCTGAAAACAAAACAAAACAAAAAAGGCTGTAAAACTTTAAATTTTATATTTTCAAACCCTAAAAAAAAGCGCTAAAAACAATATCCCGCCTTCCAATAAATATCAAACCAAACACAATTAATTACTTCCCTCCTTTATTTCAAAAAATATCCACCAATTTTTAAATTAATTTCGTGGACTTTCATCAAGCTTCTCGTGTACGCTTCCATTTCCCCAAATTTTCAAAAGGGTAAAAACGGAATTTCATATTTTAACCAACCAACAACCCCTTCAAATTCTTACACGTCACCAGAATATCACCTACCTTTATATGAAATCCCCAAAATACCCTCATCTTCTTCCCTCAGATTTATTCTCCCGCAAGCTTCCCACTCAAAATTTCAAAACTCCCCCCAAAATTTCAAATCCCTAATTTCCCCAAATTTTTCTATAAAAACCACTCTAAAATCCCCATTATTCTACATTCCCAATTCTCAAAACCCTTAAAAATCCCTCCAATTTCTCAATCAATCTTCAATTCTTCCCCAATTTCGTCAACTTCTTCAAATAAACCCTAAAAATGCCGGCGAAAATCGAAGAAACCGACCCACTTCTCACAGAAAACCCAGATAGATTCTGTATGTTCCCAATTGAATACCCACAAATCTGGGAAATGTACAAAAAAGCTGAAGCTTCATTCTGGACTGCCGAAGAAGTCGATCTTTCGCAAGATGTTCGTCACTGGGAAACCATCTTAACCACCGACGAACAGCATTTCATCACCCACATCCTCGCCTTCTTCGCCGCATCAGACGGCATCGTTCTCGAGAATCTCGCCGGAAGATTCATGAAGGAGGTTCAGGTTGCTGAAGCTCGCGCTTTCTATGGCTTCCAAATCGCCATTGAAAACATTCACTCTGAAATGTACTCTCTTCTTTTAGAAACTTACATCAAAGATTCTAACCTTAAAACCCATCTTTTTCGTGCAATTGAAACTATCCCTTGTGTTAAGAAGAAGGCTGATTGGGCTCTTCGTTGGATTGATGGTGCTGAATCGTTTGCTGAGAGGTTAATTGCTTTTGCTTGTGTTGAAGGGATTTTCTTCTCTGGAAGTTTCTGCTCCATCTTCTGGCTCAAAAAGCGTGGGTTGATGCCAGGATTAACCTTCTCGAACGAGCTGATATCGCGAGACGAAGGGCTTCACTGTGATTTTGCCTGCCTGCTATACAGCTTACTGAAGAAGAAGCTGAGTGTTGAGAAGGTGCAGGGGATAGTTAAGGATGCAGTCGAAATCGAGCGAGAGTTCGTAACCGATGCGCTTCCGGTGAAGCTGGTTGGGATGAACTGTGAGCTGATGAGTCAGTACATTGAGTTTGTTGCAGATAGGCTGTTGGCTGCACTTGGGTGTGAAAAGGTTTACGGAGTTCAGAACCCGTTCGATTGGATGGAGTTGATCTCTCTTCAAGGGAAGACTAATTTCTTTGAGAAGAGAGTTGGGGAGTATCAGAAAGCTTCTGTTATGTCAAGCTTGAATGGTGCTAATGGTGGAACTCATGTGTTCAAGATGGATGAAGACTTTTAGGTTTAATGATGGGAGTTAATTGTTCTGTGATGTTTATTTAGGTTAATTTTTATGATAATCTTTTAAAGTATGGTACTATTACTGCTACTAATTGGTGCTTTCCAATATATGTATAATATTATTAGTATTACAATGTTTGTAATTTTACTTGTTCTCTTGTATTAATTTTGATGCCTACTGAAACAAAATGATGTTTAGCTATGAGTAATTGGTATGATTTGGTTTGTTTACTTAGCTGACTGCAGATCTGATGAGGGAAATTCGTTCGTGTATCGATTTTACGAGTAAATATTTTAACAATGTTTTGAGTGATGAATTATGATTGATGGAGTAATTTGAACATATTGCTCAAATTATGTCTTTTGCTACATTGTATGGAAGTATCATAGGATTACAACAATGTATGCCTTAAGGACATTGACAAACGACCAGTTAAAGATAGAAAGACGACTTTCTGCAGAAGGCGGTGTGAAAATGAGAAAGCAATACTGCAAAGTGCAAACAGGACAGGGATCGGATAAGACTCATTCAAGTACCAAGAAAAACTAAGACCAATTTGGCCAAGGAAAATTTACTTTTGCATTTGCAAAAATCTGTTGAAGTTAAGTTGCTGTATTCATAAGATAGATCCTCACTATACAGTATACCGGCATGTACAAATTTAAATTCAGCTGACGGAATTAGCTAATGCCTAAACTCATATAGTACTCCGTATGAACATATATCATTATAACCATGGTGAACAAAATTTTTTTTAAAAAAAAAAAAAAAAGTTTACTTCTGAATCTGTACAAAAGTTGTGAGCATTAATATGTTCAGATGCTTCAAGTAGCAGTGTCAGCCTCTAAGCACCTCCTCGTCTTCAGATACCATCCAAGGTTGTGGTGGTCCCTGCAATCCATTAAACCAGTAAGTAAGAGTCTAGACCTTGATGAAAGACAATCCAACCTTTCTTTGCTCCCAACTACAAGAATGCTTATGTGCTTTTGGGGTCCTAGCAGGTTTGACTTCCCAAAGCAACCTTAGCATTCACAAGCATGCAGCAATTGACACAAACAGAAATTACACACTGATATACACGCATGGCTATGTGTTATGTCCATGTTCCATGATTCCGCAAGCTCATGTACTGAGACGAGACAATAGCAGATAATGATCAAAATCTTCAATTAGCCGCACATGTTATCCAGTAAGAGAGAATAAATATAGCTTAAACAAATATCAGCTGGGATTTATATAAATTATAATCACTGACAATCAAGAGTTTTGATTTGATACATGTCCTGAAAATTGAGAACGGTCCCCTGAGTTAATTTACCTATTTATTGTTAAAGATATAATTATAGCCTTATAGGAATCAACAAAAAGAGAAACACAGGGTCACAAAATAAGTAAATAAATTCCCTGGAAACCTAAATCAAATTTCATCAACTGATGCAAAGATATTAAGATACCATTACGAATGCAAAATTAGGCTTGTTAACAAATGAAAGTACGTAGCTTGTTGCCACAAATTTAACATACCTTTCCCAAACGGATGATTTTTGGAACGCTGCCAGTCATGTCAACCACAGTAGATGGCTCAGCTATTCTAAGGCCAGCATCAACAATAAAATCAAGGCCCTGAGAAAGCACAAACAAAGGAGCTATTAGCGACACACGATATGACGATACTAATAGTGGCTCTTTTCCATATACCTCTGCAATCAAACGTACTGCTATGTATTTATCATATATCCACTTCAGGACCCGGAAAAAAGTTTATTGCAACTTTTACTACAGCCTATATGAACTTTAATAAACTATATGAGAAATTATACCTCTTTTCCATACACCTCTGCAATCACAATGGGATCTAAAATCCACTGATCTTCTTTTGGAGCCTTAACACTGCAACAGGTATAATATGAGAACACAGACAGAAAGAATAACCAGGTCAGGGAAATCAAGATGCAGGAAGCCATTCAATTTTCTCGTAAGTATGGGTACACCAAATCATCAGCACTCGTAATTTCAAAAGAGAAGAAATTTCAGAGGTCCAAACAAACCTGGTAGATATCAGAGGTGAATCTATTTTCTCAAGAATAGCCTTAGTTACAGGATCATCAGGTATACGAACACCTATGCTCTTCTTTGGTGTATATTTTACATTTCCCGGCTCATGATTGAGACATAGCTTCGGTAAATTTTTGCTTGCAGTTAAGATGAAAGTGTACTGCCACATGGAACATATCAGCCAAAAATGCAGACCTTTATGCAACAGAAGTTGAGGATGTTCAGACAGTGTTGGGCCAAAAGGGAAAGGAAATGAAATTTCTGAAACATATGAGTTAAGAATAGCTAAAACTTATTTGACATATGTAAGGTAACCCTTTGCTTTTTACCTATCATAAAGAGCAAACTTTTAAACTTAGAATCTTAAGAACTAAGCCTCATATAGACCGATAGTAATCATTATACTAGTTCATTTATGTTTGATGCTTTCAAATCTCCTACCTTTTGTTGTTTCATAATGCCTTCTCCGATGAACTACCCTCAAAGTTGACTACAATGGCATTGACAGATAATAAGAAGGAAAAAATGAAAAGAAAAAGAATGCTGAATGGGAGGGATGAAAGAATAGGAATCAGAAATCAGGAATATGCTTCAAAATAGTATGATCTCCTGTGTCTCCAACAGCTTTCTCACATATGCATGCTATACAGACAACGTGGGCTGAAATTGTAACATACTGCACAAAGGCAGTTGTTATGTTATACTATTTGTATGTAGTATCAATGAGAGAGCTTAGTTGTTGGTGACCATACCCTCTCATCAGTCTCATGTTTAAAAAGTAAGAAAAGAAACAGAAACAGGGCATCCATATAGCATCGGTCATCAAACTGCAACCTTCAGGACGCTTTCTTAGGTTCACACCATACTCTAGCCTCTAAAGGAAAGATAATATATGGAAAGAGGAAAAACACCCAGTAGCAAAGATTAGTAAGTGACATCATACGTACAGGTCCAGGCAGGCATTGCTTCACAGCTCGAAAAATGTTAGGATGGCCAAGGCTATCACCACGAGGGAAGCCCATTGTATATACATCAATATCATGGAATGATCGACACAAAATGCTAAGTGGCTGCACGGACAACATAAGGTAAGTATCTTACGATCAAATTAATACACACACATAGGTAAATCAATCCCAATTCTATAAAGCAACATTCAGCCCCAATGCAAATTAGCTATTTGATCAAATTACGATCAAATTAACACTTGTTCAGAAACTGTCACGAAAACGTCTCACCTTGGAAGTTTCAATATTCTTAATCCTGCAAAAGAAGCCAAATAAAGTCAATCAAAGAGGAAGAGATGTCGAGGAATTATCAACATTCAAATATAAAGGGGAAATGACATACCTCCTAAGACGCTCAATTGCAGAGGGATTATTCATATCACAGACAATTGCATACCTGAAATGTTTGAAAAGCACAAGACATATTAATGTAGAAGAAAAATAGGTACGTGCCATCAAATTCCAAACCGACATCACCTCTAGAACTACTAAATTCTTTAAGAAGCACATGCACAATAACAGTAAACCATCATTCTCAAAACACAAATGAGACGAAGAGCAGCATACACTGTGTCTGTGGGAATGACACCAACAGCTCCTTCCTTCAGCTGCTGAATAACAGGTTCCAGCTTCCAACTGTCTATTCCTGATGGATCAACTTCAACATAGAGCACGCCACCATCCTGGAAATTAGAAACTCTTTTCTTAATAAACATTTTAGGGGGAAGTACATCAAGGATTTGGCAATCTACCTAGAACAACATGGGGATCAGGGAGAATAAAGATTTACTTCTCTCTTAATGCTATTGTCTAACAAATCCGTTCATATGTACAAGTAATACAATTTGACACAAATATCGTAGCGTAAAGGCACTAAGAGAGTGTTTATTAGGAGGAAAATATTTTCATTTATGTAAGAAAGGGAAGTCATATTTCCTTCTATTTGTTAATCCTTACTTCTTCTTTCTCTCCTCTCACCCACCCTCCGTTTCCATTACAATTATAATCTATAATTCCTTCTCTAATTATTCTTGCAGGGAACCAAACAGAAGGAAAAGTAATTTACAAGTGTATTTTTCATGACAATTTGTTTCCATTGTAAATAATTCTTGTTCAAAACAAACGGAGTGTAACATTAAACTTTAGCTTTAATATATAATGAGAACTTTAGACAATTATCTCACCTTTTGCCAAAATTTCATTTTCTAGCGTCATAGAGTTAATCTCCTAAATTATAGTAATCAAAAGTTCAAAGCATATCAAAATATAGATTTTGCATTTTACATTTAGGCATTTATTATCAACTACATATCCACAATTTCAATTGCAAATTTTTAGAAATCAAATTTTATCAATAAACATAATCAAAACACAATTTCCTAAGACTATAAATTCAATCATTACAATTACAGCCGTATATTTCTTCAATTTAATTACGCAATTGTCAAATTGACAAACGTTTCATCAGTATCATGGAGAAAAGTCAAGAATTTTCCTCCAATTTTCAGAATGTAAATTCGTATAAATCTCCAGATTTCAAATTTTCAGAATTGCAACAAAGTCATTGTTATCTACAACACACAATTCAGATATTTTCGAGCACATAATTCCAAATTCAACACTTCAAAACAAAAATGAGAGCAAATTACAAAAACGATAAGAATTGAACTCCATAATCAAAACCTAAAAGAAGAGAGAGAAAAGGAGAACCTTCGAGAAGCGAGGAGTAGCGTATTTGAGACGCTTAGGGCTTCGCTTGACAGCTCTAACTTGGAAGCGGCAAGGAAGAGGTAGAAGTCGCCGGAAAGAGACATTTCTGCAGCGGAAGGGAGAAAGAGAACGGCTGAAGGAGAGAAAAAGTGGTCGAGTAGAAGTGTAATCTCTTGAGAAATTAGCGCCGACTTTCATGGCGACTGCCGCCATTTTTGAGCTATCCTCGAGCTCCTTGCGCCACGAAGTTAGTGAGAAAGAAAGGGGCAAAAAGTGGTAATTTTGGATTGTTCCAGCAGGGGGAGGAGAACAATAGAATATACTTAAATTCAATTGTAACGATTAAAGATTGAGCATCTGGCTCGTGTATAGAGAGGCAAATCGAGGAGCAGATTGGATAGCTAATGTAGACTATTCAATACTCCCTTCTTTTTTAAATATTTGCTATACTTTTCTTTTTCGGCCGTTTTAAAATACTTGTTCCATTTCTTTTTTTGGAAAGTTTTTAAAATATTAAATTTATTACTCACACTTAGGCCCTGTTTGATTCACCTTAATTTTGCTGAACTGAAATTATTTTTACTGAATTGAACTTATTTTTACTGAACTGAACTTATTTTTACTGAACTGAACTTATTTTTAGTGAACTTAAATTATTTTTACTGAACTGAAATTATTTTTACTGATTTTCTATTATAATTCTTCTTTAAGAAAACTGAATTTTACTGAATTGAACTTATTTTTACTGAACTGAAATTAATTTTACTGAACTGAACTTATTTTTACTGAACTGAAATTATTTTTATTTAATATTATTTTTTTAAGGTGAAAAGAACAGGGCCTTAGTGGACCCAACATAATACTCTCTCTCCTCCACTACTTTTGTTTTTTACAATTTTTTATTTTCTCAATTACCCTACTACCTCCATATTATGATTGTACTAGCTCTAATTTAGCTTTCATACTTCAAACTAACATATTAGGGATTCTCCTAGCGATGAGGGTTTTCTAATGTTTTTTCTTCTTACCTTTACCAAAAAAAAAAAAAAAAAAAATCCCCAAATGATAGTTATAGTATGTTCTTTTATTTATGTTGCTTACGGAGTACGAAAATTGCTCTCTTCGTCTTTGAATAAAAGTTCTCATTTTCTAGCAAATTATGTGTTCATCATAAATTATGACCTTGTTCACTTTATTAGTTTTTTGTTGATTAATATTAGGAAAAATTGCGGAAAATAATACAACCTTTGTGCGGTTCATTTATGATGATACAACCTTTGGATTAATTCTTAATATTATAACCTTTTACCCTCATCTATTTTAATCAGGCAAATTACAGGGAACCTGTTGAAAGCAAGTCAACAGTATTCTAATTAAAGGTTGACCCAAAATTTCCCCCTAAAATTATCCGACGTGGCAAAGACGTTGCCACCTACCCCATTTACTCACTATCTTCTTCTCTCTCCTCCCGCCATTACTGAGGCTACCAAACTCAAACTCTGGAAAAAAAAATCCGTACTTCGACATTGATGATTCTCAACCACCAAGGAAGTGCAATTGGCGTTGGAGAAGAGGTTTGAAGCGGAAATCAGTTGAATGCGACACAATTCGACCATGGTATGCTGTGCTATCCCTTAATTTGCCCAGATTTTGTTTCGATTTTTTTTATTTACAGCAATTCATATCTAAAAATGAAGTCTTTAGGGTTAATTGATGTTTGTATTGGTTGAATTGGTTATGAATTTGGTAATTTTGGGGAAAATTTTAATTTTTTTATTTACATTTGCTTGAAGATATTAGGATTGCTCTTATGCAAAGGGTGGTGAAGAAAAGAACTGAGATGGAGAAATCTGCTTCAATACTGTGCCCTAGGATACAAAGTAAACTAGAAAAAGAAAAAACCAAGGCAGCTGAGTGTGATGTTATGCCTTCCTCCCAGACCAAGTTCAATGTGAGATATATTCTTGATATGTTGACTGTAGACCTTCAAGCTAAGAGCTGCACCTGTAAAAAATGGAACATGACAGGTATACCTTGTTGCCATGCTGTAGCCTGCATTTTCTTCAAAAACCAAGAGGCTGAGCTGTATGTTGATGAGTGTTTCAGAAAAGAGGTGTATCTCACTGCCTATGCTGGGGCCATACCACCCTTAGAAGGAGACAGACATTGGCCTAGGGTGAAATGCAATGTGGATCCCCCCCCCATTAAAATTGGTCCTGGTAGACCAAGAAAAAATAGGATCAAGGATCCTTTTGAGCAACCAAAGCAACCAGGAACACTCTCAAGAACAGGAATGGAGATGACCTGTTCAATATGCAAAACCAAGGGACATAACAAGAGGAGATGCCCTGACAAGGGTACACCATCTGTTTCAGAGCCAACACCTAAAAAACCAAGGGGCAGGCCCAAGAAGGAGACAGTTAATGAAGCTTCTACTTCCATCATTGCATCTACAGCACCTGCAGCATCTGGTTCAACAGTTCAGACTCAGCACCACTCTAACACAGCTCATCCAACTCAGCTAGGAAGAGGGGGGAGGGTTATATTGGGTGGCAGAGGTGCTAGAGGTGGTAGCAGCCAAAGGGGAGTGGGTCCTGGAAGAGGCAGGGGAAGGGGCAGAAATCAGCTTCCACTTGGTGTTGGTGTTATAATTGCTGCAGATGGCACAACTTTGATGCCCAAGGTACACTTTTTCCCTTTTTTTTAAGTGATTACTACTAAGTTATCTTTGGCTTAATGTGTTTCCTATTTTATTTTTATTTTTTTTACTCAGCCTGCTCCAACAAGAGGCAAAAGGAGGCCTAGGAAGCAGCAACCAAGTCAGCTAGGAACCCAGTCCAGCCAAGCTTCCACAGCCCACCAGCTCACACAGTAGCATCAGCATAGCAGCATTTGTTCTGTTTAACTTTGTGAACATATTTATGAACTTATGTGCTTACTTATGAATCAGATTCAAGTTGTAATTTTGGTTGGAAGTCACTTGATATGGTCTATGTATTTTGTGGGATCAACATTATGTCTTTTGTGGGAACAACATTAATTAATACTTATGTATTTTGTTGAGACAAGTTTATGTACTCATTTTGCAAAAGTTAACATTTCCAAATGAAGAGGCTAAGTTCAGCTAATCAAATTGCAAATAAATAACATATATAATCTTATTTATCTAGAGTTATCACAACTCATACAAAGAGTTTACTTAAAGTACTACTACATCAGTCACCTAACCATAAACATAAAAAAAAAAAAAAAAAAAAAAAAAAAAAAAAACCAAACACAATCCATGACAACAACAACATCAAATACATTCTTCTCTCATTCTTCCTCCTTTTCCTGATCTGAGTCTTCAGCTCTTCCATTTCTGTCTTCATCCCAGCAAGTGCATCACAATACTTGTCCTTCTTCAATTGCAGCTTCTTAATCTTGTCTTCCTTCAATTTCTTCTCATATTCCAACTCACAAATCTCAGTATCCTTCTCCATGATTTTCAGTTCAAGATCTTCCAAGTCAGTACTAGTAGTTACCCACTTAAACATCTCACATTGAGTATCCTAAATCATACCCAAAATCAGAGTAAGTGTACAACATTCTCAAAAATTAAGTTAATTTTTTTTTAAAAAAAAAATTCAAATAAAACTTACTGGCCATAAGGGGCAACCATAAAATCTCATCCCCATATTTGGACCATTCTTCACTGTCCTCACAACTGCATACTTCCCACATGAACACCTAATTCTTGAGTTAGCCCCCCTTGCCGAATTGGTTGTGCTTCCAGATCCAACCGATTGGGATGGTTGCCTTATCCCAGACATATCAATTAAATCAGAGTAATTGAAGGGGAGAGTGCGAATTTGAGCAAGAAAAAAGAAAGGGAAAGCAACAAATTTGGGGAAAAATGGTGAAGGAACAGGGTATATAAGTAAAGAAAGGGATTTTGAAAAAGTTGTCCAACGGTCAATGACACGTACGAAGTATTACTGCCACGTCATCGGTTTACCTCTTGTAACAGGTTGCCTCGTAAATTTGCCTGATTAAAATAGATGGGGGTAAAAGGTTATAATATTAAGAATTAGGAAAATTTGCCAAGAATAATACCACCTTTCAGCCATCTTCTAAAAATGGAACCACCTTTGATTTATCTCAAAATAATACGACCTTTGACATAGATCTGCCAAAAACGGAACATAACCGGTTGGTAACCTATTCCAACGGTTTTTTGTGACATGTGTCACACTGTTATTAGTCAAAAAAAATTTAATAATTTTTTTAAACAAAAACTTAAAATTTAAAAAATAAAATAAAATCCTTAAACAAAAAACTCAAATCCAGCCCCTCCCCACCAAACCACCTACCCTCCACCGGAACCCACTAGTGGCCAAACGCCTATTCCCATTTTCGGTCGACCGACCACCTCCCCACCCCCAATTCTGTCCCCACTTCCCTAACATGCCCCCGAAATTCCGGCAGCCTCCCACCTCGATCATGCCTGAAACCATCAATACAAGCCCCAAAACTCCCCCAACACTACCGAAACCACACCAGTAGCCCCTGCAAACCACTTGGCGTCCCTCGAAAATAACTCACAACCAACTAAAACCCACCTAACCTATTCCCTAACACCTACAAACCACCCGCAATCTGAGGTATGGGTTCTGGGTTTGCCTTGAGGTTCGACGGTTTTTGGGGCAGGGTCTTGAGGCTCGCCGACGGTTTGTTAGTCCTAAGGTGAGGCAATGTCTAAAGGATCACCAATCTTGAATTTCGCCGGTAGGAGGCCTAAACGGCAAGGGGAGAGGATTTTTTTTATTATTAATTTTAGTTCTTTTTTTTTTAAAAAAAAAAGATTAAAATCATTATTATTAAAGAAAATGTTAAAATGAAAAAAGAAAAAAGAAAACATAGCTAATCACAATGTGACACGTGTCCAATGTAACTTACAAATCAGGTTGCCGGTTTTTTGTTCCATTCTTTGAAGATTGGTGTCAAAGGTCGTGTTATTTTGAGATAAATCAAAGGTGGTTCCACTATTGGAAGATGGCTGAAAGGTGGTATTATTCTTGGCAAATTTCCCTAAGAATTAATCCAAAGGTTGTATTATTATAATGAACCGCACAAAGGTTGTATTATTTTCCGCAATTTTTCCTTAATATTAAGGTTTCAATAAACAATTCTTACTACTATATGAAATCTGAATAACTAAAGCGATACTTAGTATAAGAATGACCATATATGATTAGTTACATACGGAGTACTTTGTACTCTACTACTCTGTGTGATTCAACTGGATTCATATTCTGATATTCATAACTTGTTTGGGAATTTTACTTGTCAAAAAAAAAAAAAAAAAAAAAAAAAAACAAACAAACAAAAAAAAAACATGTCCTTTATATTTAAATAAATTATCCTGTTTTCCTTCTTTTTTACTACTCCGTACATATTTTAAATAAACCATGTCTC